AACCCTACCCATATGAGCACATCGTTTACCAACTATCATGGTGACCCTGTAGCTTAAAAGAAGATGGCAGCCCACCTATGTGAAAGGTGCACTGGAGTGAAATCTGGAAGCAGCTGGGTATGTTTAAAAGCATGTCAGCACAAAAAGGGACTCATTAGGCATTGCTTCCCACGGTAGCAAAATGGAAGGCCAAACCAGACATCATCATCAACCATCAGTTCAGTTCATCACCGTCATTTGCTTCTTTGTCCTTAATCTGTGATGTTATGCCTTGCAGGTATATAGAAAGCACCGGAGACGTGTCGGGGTGTCGCAGCAAAGCATGTCTGGTCATGGGTTCTTTCTCAAGAAAAGGTAAAGCAGTTGTTGTTCTGCAGAGAATAGGAAGGTTTAACAACAGGTGGGGTTTCATCTTCTCTAGATCGAGCGAAGGGGCCTGCTTGTGGCATCTCCACATTGCATCGATCCGCAAAGAGGGAAACTGCTGAACTGTCGGTTGTTCATAGGGTCTGTCTGGTGCACCAGGGTTTTATTGGAAATGGTGTGACTATTTCTACAGGAATCTTTAGTCCTGAGTCCTGACAGGTTTCTATTTGCTTCATACAGAACCTTATAATACACTGATCAGTAGTCGCTGAAGGCGATGTTGAAAAGAGAGGGCGGCCCAGTCCTGGATGCAAAAGTTGAATGTGAAACGAGGTCCCATAAAATCGATTGGTGACTGCCAGGGCAGGGTTTCCGTCCGAAAAACACACTTGGACGAAATTTTCAAATTTCAACAACCAATGTGAACCTAGAGACAAATGTTGGAGGAAATATATAATGTTGAAACTTGGAGGTAGCAATTGACCTCGTGGTACCAGTAATTCAAGTACAGCTGAATAGAAGTCAAAGATAGCAGAATACTCACCAACCATTGATTGGAGCAACCATGTGTTGTAACCAGTAAGACATCGATAATAAGAGGGGAAACCCAAAAGGCAAACAATCCGAAAGAGAGCAAACTGATGATGAAATCAAGTATCTGAATGTTTTATTATGACTATCTTGAGTGGATTCATGACATCATTTGTTCTTCGATGGTGGTATGTCCGGTCTACAAGAAACAGAAATGCACGTGTGCACACATCCGTCTAGACTGCTTTTGGAGCTGACCGACTCAACGGCTTAGTAAGAAATTAAAAGATTAAGTTGTCTTAGGAAAGCTCACTTCGTAGCTAAAAAGTTGCATTTTCTAGTAGTGTTCTTAGGACAATATGGATGTCAAGCACTGACTCTGCACCAGTCAGTCTCAGTGCAACATCAGCATACACAACTGTTCAACAAAGTCGCAAAAAGCATGAACAGTCGAATGGATGGTTATCTGCTGTGATTTGAAAGACCAGATGGAAGAGGTATACGGACAACATGTCAACATCGAAAGCCGTCCGTGTTCCTGTGCTAAGGTTTGAAGGGCCCCTTCCAGAATATGGAAGGAAGAGAAATATGATGTTGCACCAATCTTATTGGAGTAGGTCAGATGTATGCATCAATTAGATTTTTTTTCAAAAAACAGATTTTTTAATGGCATTGCTGACTTCGATTTGCATGAGAGAAAATAATCACACAAAGTATCTTGTGCCTATTTTCATTGTGCAGTTGATGAGACCTGAAATTGTAATTTACTGATCAAACTAGAACTAAACACTAGCATTGTATTCCAATTAGTTTGTCTAAAATTTTACATGATCACTTTAGGGTCCTGAGTCCAGATAACACGAAAACAAGAATATAGCGTTTTATGTCACTGCTATCCTCGGCCATATGATGACCCCTTGGATGCCATTGGTCTTCTCTTCTGTTGACCCCTAAATGTAGATCCAGATCCAACAAATCATCTGCCTGAGCTGTTTCTAGGGCGTTCTTCAAATGATTCTTCAGATTTTACAAACCGCCTAGCATTTCCTTCTTCAGGTCTTGAAAATCTCCTAGCATTTTCAGCAACTTGTTGTTTCTTTTTCATCTTGCTGGTGCTAGGCCTATACAGAATAACAGAGCGATCAATTTGGTCAATGGCGATGGATCCTGTTGACTGCTCAAGTTAAAGTATCACATCAGGTAGCTTCCCAGGGCAGTTCCATGAATTTTTAGCTGTTATAGCGTAGAATCTTGGTGAGAAAAACCTAACAACAGCTGTGAATGGAGTGCAGAAGGAAATGTAAACTAAAGCAATAAAGAGCCCAAGATACATTGAATCTTGCAGTCTTATTGTATTCTTGCACGTGAATTGGAACAGAACAAATTTCAACTTAGGCTGTGTTTAGATGCGAAAATTTTTGCAAAATGCCACTGTGGCATTTTCGTTGTTATTTGGCAATTAGTGTCCAATCATAGTCTAATTAGGCTTAAAAGATTCGCCTCGTGATTTCGTCTAAATCGTGTAATTAGTTTTATTTTTTATTTATATTTAATGCTTCATGCATGCGTCCAAATATTCGATATAACGAAGAATCTTGAAAAATTTTGCAAAATTTTTCCGAACTAAACACTACCTTATCATAAGTGTCAGACTGTCAGGCACCAATAAGCACAGAGTTACCCGATTCCAAAAATGTGTTTTCCACACTTGGGCGAGTCAGAATACAGTATTTTTTATTAGACTGTATTATACCTACTTCATTTTCATGACAAACTTGAACGTTATGATTTGTCTATCTAACTACATATAAGTAACAGATCATATTTCTTCACGAGGACCTGCTTCTTGAAAGGTGTTGATACAAAGATTGATAATTGGGTGGAATCTCCGTACACAAACACAAATTAGCCCATCACATTATCACAACAATCCATGGCCCACAATGTTCAATTTATTGCCCATTCTTACCACTTAAGCAAAATAGAAGCCCCAACATTGGATAATTGGACTACCCTATTTAAGAAATTAGGTTAGCAATACCAACTCCTTAATCTAATATTGATGAATAATAATCAGTGGAGTCCTTAGTTAATTATAGAATCTTCTAGCATCATACTCATGAGTGTACATTGGTCATGAGCGTCAACTCATATTATCAAGTTTAGTGGGACCTAATGATATGGTTAAGTTTGCTTCTCATTCCAACAAAACCGAGAACTTAAAGAAGCTATACAAAAGAAAAGGGCTACGGGGTTTTGACAGGAACGCATAAAGGAATAAAGACTGATGCTTACTGCAACAATCAGTCTCACAGTTTCATACACAAGAGTGACCTCCAAGCCAGCTTCTTGGTCAACTAAATTGCCGAGGAGGAAGAAAAACGAGTGCCAGGAAAGAGAAGGAAAGTTAAATGGAAGGTGATTGGCAGTCCCTGAGAATTGCAGGGTTAGAGTTCAGACTTGTTGCAACTCATGTGGATAAAAAGTTTTGCCATTTTTTTTATTTTTCGTTGCCAATTTAGCTTCTAAATTTGCGCCTTCTGCATTACATAATGGCAAAGTGTATAAACAAAACCCGAACTAGTCACGCCTAAGTTTCATAGACCTTCCTTCTTCAACCAAACTCCCAGCCGACTTCAACTTGCCAGATCTAGCTGGATCAGCAGCACAGTGGCGCCAGAACCCTATCCATACGATACGACAGCCATGCTTGGAACTGGACTAGTCCTTTGTCATGTGGCAACAATGAACTAAGAAGTCTTACAATGGTCTCACTTCCTTTTCTTTACCCGATGTATATTTCAGGATGTGGTTTGTTCAGCATGCGCTGAAGCAGAAACAACACACAATTTCCTTGTAGGATTAAAACCACATGCATCATGGATTTGGCAATGGGAGAGAGATCAGAGAGGGCAAATGGGGGCATACCTTTAGGAGCTCGTTGGACTCGAGGTTGTCACTGAAGGCGGAGACAAGGTTGGGTGTGACGCCGCTCTTGCCGACCTGCTGCGATTTGAGCTTCTTGCCGAGGCCGTGCGCGTACGAGGCCAGTTCATTCCGCTCCTTCACGCTCAGCTTCGGCCGTGGCAGCCGTGGGAGCACGAACTACCTGGGCGCCTCAGCCTCGGCCGCAGATTCCTCCTCTACCGACTCCTCCTCCGCGTCCGGCACGCCTACAACATCGGCGACGGCCGCGGAAGCTGAGGCAGAGGCGGAGCCGTGGTCCAGGGAGGAGAAAAGGCGATGGGAGGTGAGGATACGGAGGCGAGGGGGCGGGAGACGAGAGGAAGGTACGGAGCGGAGGTGGTAGGAGAGACGGGCGAGAGGAAGGCGGAGGAGGGTTACCGCCGCAGCCATGGTTGCTCAACGGGATGCCGCGGAGCGCTGAGGCAGGGGATAGCAAGCTGCAAGTGCAACAAGACGCAGAAGGGGATAAGAAATTAAACTCGGCCCACCAGTCAGTGACCAATATGGTTCTAAACCGATTACAATTCAAAACACAGCTGCCTCAAAAATGTACAAGTAAACAGAAATTCCGATTCACACTGGGTGAGCTTGCATTTGAATTTTGAACTCCTACCAAGAATTCATAAAATTTCGTCTACGTTGTAGGTTTGTAGCTCATCGTCTCGACAAATCTTGGCCATCTCAAGGCAAACCAAGTGCTTGACCAATTGAACATACTTCTGCTTATAGGCATCGTTAAACATCTTAAAATTTGGCTTGTTAGAACATTTTTTTCAGCCAAACTGTGTTTTCTCTCACAACAATTCACTGCATCAATGTTTTTCAAAGGTTGGCGGATGAAATGGCACTGCCATAAAGAATACGATTTCAATGTGAATGGTAAATAATTGGTGCTTGACTTCTCGTTTTGTTGTATGCTTCAAACAAAAAAAAAGGTATATATTGACAGGATAACTGAAGAATGAATATAAGCATTAATGTTCAGTTCCTGCCACATGAATTTGAACAATGCAGACGGCCAGGCAGGAACAAGCCATCTAACAGGCACAGCTTTCAGCAAAATTACTGATCCTCTGAAGATAACAAGCATAATACACATTGTACAACCCCGAGGATATGTATGGCTAGCGAAAGTGTTAGAAACCTTGGGCGACTTTACTTGCAAGCACACGCTCTCGTTTCTCGATGTAGTCGTAGGGGAACCAGCCAGCTTTCCCCCTGCATTCACCTTCAGCCCATCCATTGTTCGACACCTGATTAGGAAAGTTTTTTAATGAAAAATCAGTAATCAAGTTTGAGTACAATGTGATTGAGGCACTCATGAAATGAGCAACCAATCTTTGTGAAGCTGGCCGCAGCAGGTATGTAATATGAGCAATTAGTAAGTTTCTAAATGGCCCGTGCACCTGGGCTAAGCTAAGGAGTAAGGCGCAGGTTCTGTCCTGTATGAGAAAGCACTACCTTTCGGACCACTATGTAGTCACCAGCTGAAAGGTTGAGCTCAGTATCACTCTCTGCTCGATATGACTGGATTGCCTGCCAAAGAAAAATGACAACACATATGTAGATTATTACAGGTAAAAATCAAGAGAATCAAGACCTAGCGCCTGGCAGCTACAAACTTGTGCAATGTGATGAAACAAATTACCTCAGCCAAGAAATACTCCACAGTCTCAACCAATTCTGCAACTGTATTCCTCATGAATATACCATTGACCTCTTCATATGCAGGCGGCGGAGGCATGGAACTCTCAACCACTGGAGGAGGTGCTCCTTCAATTCTTTGGCGCTCAGATACCATCTAGAAGAAAAATAAGAATGCTCAATCAGGATACAGAACCAACTAGATTTTTCTTGAAGATGTAGAGTTTCTTTAACTTTACGCATGGAAAGGATGCAATGCGAAAACATCAGTACCTCTCTCTCAAGTTGATCAAGAATTTGTAGGACCTTTTGGTGGTAGTTTCTCTCTGATTCAACCTTGAATTAAGTCGAAAAGTGTCATTAAACACAATAGGCAATTTCAAGACTTAACAAAAATAGTCAAGTCGCCCAAATGACCCAACTAGACAAATATGTACCAATGCAATAAGACGCTGCAGTGTCAGTCTTTGCTGTTGGGCTTCAACGGCAGTCATTGCTGCAACAGCTTCTTTGGCCAAAACCCCCATATTTGATTTCAACTCCTGCAGCTTTAACTCAGTTGCTTCTAGCCTTGCAACCATATCACTATTTCCAGATGCTTCTCTTAGTTTCATTTGGCGTTTTGAAACTTCAATAGCCTGCAGGACTCAAAAAACCAACTTTCCCAATTTATTACAGGAACAAAAGAAAAGAACTATATAGTATGCCTAAGTGACTTCAAGTTAAAGAGAAATAACTAAAAAGCTTTGCAAACAAAATGGGAAACACAGGTGGCTGAGCAATAATTCTAGCACAAGTGCGCCAAAAAAGAAAAGAAAGTGTGATGATGATATGTCTGGATGGATAGAAATAGCTTCTATTAATGGCTTATGTGACCTGAGTTCGAATTGCATAGGGTAGTGCCCAAAGTACCTCATAAAAAGCAATGACACACTCATGCATCAGGGATGGTACTAGTCAAATCCTAAAATTATATGCTTTGATTCTAAATGGTTTATCAGTTACTATGAGAAATGTATGGTGTACTAAATTTTTTTTAATTATGCCAAATTACCATGCCTATTTGAGTCAGTAAGAGTCATGTAAAATACTGCTTGGTACCAGAAACATAAGATACAAAGACAAGGTAAACTTATTGTGCAATAGTGTAATACATATTGAAATGACCTGCGCTTCAGCTTCTTGACGCATTCTGTCGTATCTTTGGGCGAGGTGGCGAGCATCCTCCAAAGGAGCTCCCATAACCATAGCCCTCAGTGGTTCTGCAACCTGATGACAGTTTGCATTACTTGTATCAAGTTTTGTCCGGGTTTGATTTAAGAAAATGTACAAAGTATGAAAGGATATTATGGCACTCATGGTAAAATTTTAAACATAAGAACAAGAAATTAAGAAAGGATCCTCAAACTGGAACTTCCAATCCACTTCAGTATTTAACTGTTGACTGGCAGTTTCAATCCACTTCAAGTATTTAACTGTTGCAAGTTCTAGATACACTTACATATAACATGAGCAATTTGCAAGCTATTTAATTAGTACAAATCACCCTAACATACACTACTATCCTATTAGTAGACGACGAAGAAACAAAAAAGAGATAAGCATTGCTACCCTATTAGTAGATGACCAAGATACAAAAAAGAGATGAGCCAACAGAAATGCTTGTGTTTTATTCTGTGTTAAGTAATGATTAGTCCAACAAAAAATGCTATACATCAGAGCCTTGTGTCATTTCCTAGGGCAAGCATAACGCAGAACACATATATGGCTCAAATTCCATAATCCAGTGCATTCGTACATTATGGATATAAATGCAACAATGGGCAACACCTGTGTGCCGAGGGCTTTCAGCAGGTTACCCTTTCCTTTCCATCATGGACCGTGCCTTAGCAAAACTTAATGCTGCCTTCGACAGTGTGCTTCCACTGGTACAAGTGTTCTCAGTGCCATACTTCTTGCCATCCTCACATAACTTGTTCCCTATCAACACAAAGCACATTACGTTAACAGTTCCGAAATTCAAATTCATGTGTTCAATGAAAGAGACACGGGAGTTCAGCTGTCTACCGATCTCGACTTGCTTCGACCCCGTGACGATGTAGCCCTCGACGCCCCGAACAATATCCCTTTGGAAGTGCTGGGAGGAACGACAAGGCGACACATTATGTAAGCAGATCCAGATCCTAGACAGAGTAAGTACCAAGCAAGGACCGCGGCGAGGGGGATCATCCACCATTTACCTTGGCGGCGCGCGTGGAGATGTAGAGCTTCTCGAGCTTGGAGTGCTGTTGCGCCTCGGCCTCGTCCGCGAACACGCCGTCTGCGCCGTACCCACCCCCGAACTGCTTCATCACCGCCTGCGAAACAGGACACGGGCGGGCGCGAGCACGGCGCGGCATCATCAGTGATCAATACCAACCTAGAGAACGACAACCGGATCTCGGAGGAGCCGCGTCAAAGGGAGGGAGGGAGGGCGGACGGTGCGAGCCCGCGGCCGGGTCGCGGAGGAACGGATGGCGTAGATCTTGAGAAAGGGGCGGCGTGGCGCGCTCACCTGCTGCTGCCGAGCGACCTGCTCCCGGAGCTTTGAGGCCTGCTTCCGGATGGCCTCCATTGGCCGGCGGCGATCGAGAGGGTCTGGTCGGTGGGAGACGGAGTTGGGGTGGGAATGGAGCGGGGGCCGATGAGAGATCTGAATCAGGGAGGAGGAAGGAAGGACAGATGGCGTCAGGGTCAGGCTCCCGCTCCGGCGTTCTCTCTCTTTGTCCTTTTGTTTTTTTTTTCAAACCGAGGACATCCCCATTTCCATTACCAGACATAAATGTTTAGAGAGTATCAGAGGGGATATAGCTACGCTACAGGAGCACCCCAAAAAAAACTACCACCTGATCACTGCGCAACAAACCTGCAAGGCCTAACATCTGACTCAGATGAAGCAACCATCAACACAAGAGTTTAACAGGAACACAGTAGCAGGCTAGAACAAAACAGCTAAACGAAGAAAACATCCCCAAGCAACATCCTGATCACACGTCGATCATCCAAAAAACGAGGGGCAGTCGTGGGAGGATCTCCTTCAGTCCTTCTGATTCTGATGATTCACGTCCTTGTCCTCCAGCGCTTGATACCCAGCAGGCTTCTGTTTCTGGTTCAGCAACTTAAGCGCAATTTGCAGCATCGTGTTGGCTCCAGCAACTAGCAGCTCTTCATCATCTTCGTGAAATAAACCTGCCCAGTAACTAGTGAGCGCACAAGCATGGCATATGATAGAGATAGGATTTTGAATCATTTTTCCATCAAAGCAAGCTTTGTTCCGAGCCTTCCAGATGGCCCAACAGAAAGCAGCGATCCCAGTAGCATGAAATTTTTTGCCATTGGGTAGCCATTTCTCACACCAAAGCCAACATTGTTCTAGGGAGTTAGGAATATCAGTAGCCCCTATGCAGACTGCCACGGTCGCCCAGACCGCCTTGGCCATGCTGCACTAGAACAAAAGATGAGAAACATGTTCCTGCACCTGCACACGGTACGGTGCACATCTTGCCCGTATGAGATCCATGGCTTCTATAGCCCATTTGGATCTGTCTATAGCTCACCCGTGTGAGCCGACACAATTTTTTTCTCCTCTCTAGTACTGTTCATCCTCCTCCCCCTGACGCCCACCGTTGCACAGCGCCCAACGCGCGGCGGCGGAGCTCCGGCGAGACCCTACCACGCCCGCGACGGCCTCTCTTCCCCTCCCCTCTCTCGCCACCACTTTCTTCTCTAACTCTGGTGAACGATCACGACTCCCCTACCCCCGACCTGGCCCGGCCGCCTCCACCACCAGCCAGGAGCCCAGACAACTCCGCCTCCATCCCACCGCTGTGGCGCCCTACCTTCCTCGGCTGGACTTGGAGAAGAAAGAGGGAGAGGCCGGATTTAGAGAAGAGAAAATTCGAGTGATGGATTCTTCAAATCACACGCAGTGAGGGATAAGCGCTTACCTTCCATTTTGATCGTGCTGAAAAAATTTTATTTGTGTAGTAGTAGAAGCCACATTTAGCCTTGAATGCATCGAGGCCTCAATTTTGGTTTCGCTAATTGAGGAACACAGTAGGTGTGTTTTGCCAGGGATAATCGCATTGATCTAGTCACACACACAGGCACACTCACACTATTGGCCACACGGTTATAATGGCCCTAGAATTCATATTCTAAGTATGTTGTTAGAGGCACTTGTAAGGATTCTATAGATCCTAACTGCAAACTTAGTGTTGGAGGTGCTTATAAGTAAAGGATCGAGACTAGTAACTTGACCTAATTTTTAGCCAACAATATTTGGAGATGAACACAAGTGAAAGCTAGAGCTAACTATCACACAAGTGGCCATGGAAGATAGAGAAATCATTCAGGATCTCAAATGAACTGGATTGGATGATATCAAACTTCAACCGAATTAGGAATTCAAGTTTTAAGTTCATCAAAGCATGATCAAGTCCACTAGATCATCTAATGATGCTGTACTCATGCTCAAGGTATGATCCCATGACGAAGATTACGTACCAGCGTATGACTCAATGACACTATTGGAAGTGATCAAGTTACTCATGTTCGCTGTATAATCGAGTAATTCCTTATTGGCACATGATTGATCATCCGGTGACACCGTTGAAGACTCAAGTTGAAGTTAACGAAGCAATTGGTCGTCATCGTAGGATCTAGTGATGCATGTGTGGCGTACAACGGATCATCCGATGACATTGTGCTAAGTTAAATGGGTAATGTTATCGATGTTCACCATATAATCCGGTGACTACTTTGTGACCCACGGAGGATCATCTGGTGAGTGACCATCTTCGTAGCCATTGAAAACTTTGAATTTTCTTCAAAACCATATTATTTGGTGCTCGACTGGCGAGTGATCGGCAGATCATCTGGTGATCACTACAAATGCAAAGTTTTGGCCAAGGGTAGTTGCTCTCCATGGGGTATTTCGTTGATAATATGAACTCAGTGTATCATAAGGAAGATATAATCCATCATATAGAGATAGGGCAGGACTCAACCTAGCTTGTTGTATACTACAAGGAAAGGCTCCAGTTAGATGTGTCTTTAGATATGAGTTATCTTATTGTAATAGGACTAGCAAACAAATTCTAATTGGAAAGGAAACCAACGCATAATCCTCTCCCCAAGACTATATAAGGAGGGCGGAGGTCCCTAGAGGTAGGAATTAAAATGAATAGGATTGGTTGGGATAAGCCCTCTTCTGTTTTCACATTTACATTTTATTACATAATTAAATGAAAATAAATGAGAAGATCGAAAACGAGGAACCACGATGGGATTCATGGATATCAAATTAAAAAAATGAACTAATTCAAACGGAAACATGTCGATAAAATGGTTGGGATTCAAAATTACAAAACAACAACGATAACACATAAAACCAAGAAACATGACTCCACATGCTGACCTAACTAACTCGATATGGCAATAGATATGCAATTCTGATTCATACCATAGTTTCTATAAGATGACAACAGTACACGAGTGTAAGACCATAAGTCTACAATATAGCAAGACAACAACTTGTCCACTATGGACCAAATTACTGCGGTATGGTGTGAGTGACTGTTGTACTATTGGACTTTCTAATTGTGTGGGTAAAAACTGGATGTCCCAGTTAAAAATGGGGAAAGCGAAAATGGTCAGAAAAATAACCATACCATTTTCATCATGATTTCAAATTTGCCAAAGATGAGAAAAGCGAAAATGATCGTGATGACTGTAAATAAGAATTTGAGCGGGTTGAATGTAGAAATTTGAGAGGGACGAAATAAGATTTACCTCGACCATTTCACCCCTACCAAGAGTGGGACATCTTGCCAAGCCTTGTCGAGGCAACATTCCAGTGGACACTTTGGGGACCCGTCCAGTTAACAAACCTAAACCAAGTGTTATCCACTTAACCACTTAGCTTCAGATAATCAATCATAGGAATCCCTAGAAATGCACCACCTGCACTCCACTAGCACAAATATAGGATCATAGTTGTGAATAATACACAAATGAACATCAGAACTCAAAGTTAACTCAAAACACAAGAAGCACATATTTGTCAAAATAACTCAAGTATATCGAGCTTATATAACTCATGTGCTCCTTCACCACAACAAGTTAATCAGAAAACTATTATTTAAGAACAAGAAGTAGCCCCAAGAACACACTCCTCAAGTTCTCCATTAAAAATCTACTCTCCTATCTCTTATTTACAAAGCAAGATAGGCATGTCCAACCTATCTCCTCTTATGCCACCATACGTACCTATGTTTGCATGGGTAACCATCATGGACTCTGATAATTTACAAACAACTTATCGACAACATCGTGAGTACGGTGGTGTACTCAGAGAACTTATCCATATTTATTATATAATATGGTCGATGCAAGGTAATAGGTAAATAGGTTTCTTTGAAAGCAGTATAGTAATTTCCATGTACACTAATAAATGCAAAGAGAATATAATGGTATGAAAAGGTTGACACATCATGAGTTAAGCAACATGAGTTCAATTTTCGATGTCTTGCATGCTCTTGTTGTATAGCTTTGTACTCACGTTTAATGTAATGCATTTATCTTTAAGTGTTGTATAGCATTGCATGACGTTACGTCACAAAGGAGACTATCACAAATATGAGAAAGTTGATCATGGTCAAGTGTTATTGAAACAACTCATATGGTGATCAAAAGGAATTCAAAGTGTGTTTCATGTCTAGTTAGCTATCTTCTAGTGAACTTAAAGTTTCAATCTCTAAGTTCTTGAGAGAATTAGCTCATACATTTCATTCCTTTACTAGTAATCTATGTGTGTGCACTGATAAGGGGAATTTCACAAACTCGGTCATGTTACTTTGCCTCTATATTGTATTGCCTTCTTTAGAAAGCTCAAATTTTGCTTCTTCCTTTTTGAGTCAAAGGATTGTGCACAAGTTGGAGGAGCATGTCGACTACATGGGTCTTGGGTATCCTCATCAAGGCCAAAGCCTACACCCCCAACAGAGGGTGGACTGGGCCAACTGGTCTTAGGAGGCGGTCTAGGGGTGCCTCACCTCACTTCTGCTTTTCTTCTTCCTCTTTTGTTCTCCCTCTCCTTTTTCTTTTTCTTCTACTTCACCTTTGTTCAAACTTGTAGAGTGGGCTTGGGCCCCCCTTAAATTCGTCCGTACCCCATAAGATGTTCTATTGTGTATTTTAGGTTGTTCATATAGTATCTATGAAATATTCGACAATATATATCAATTGTTGCCACTATCATCATGTGATGTTCTTTTTAAATTTCTACTACAGAATACTTGACATGTTCTTTTTAAATTTCTACTATTTGACACGAATGCTATGGAATATTATTCCTTTGAATCTAAAATTTTGTTATCCTAAATCATGAGCCCGAACATTTTTTGTGAAGATGTGAACCTTGAATATTGCCCTATTTAATAAAAAATATTCTTGCTTCATGAGAAAAACATTTTTTAAAAGTAAATTATTTTTAAACAAGTTATTGTAAAAACAAACACAATTACTATATCTGAAGTTTAATTTCGATGCAATTTTGTAAACTATGTTTTTTAG